TTTGTTGTACTGTTTTCCGAATGTCTTTCTCCGTGTGTTGCACAACGAACTTAAACGCGCACTTCCGCGGACAAAATGAAAAATACCTTCGCATTAATTGTTTTAACCAAAAGGTGCCTGTAATGGAACTCAATTATTTCTGGTAACACGGGGAAGACAAACGAAGAAACTAGTTTCTAAACTAAATAATTGACAATATCAAAAAATGTAGCTGAGAAGTATGAAAACAATATTCCATTAACATAAATCGTCGAAATCTAATAAATTCTTTTCATTTCCATGATCATATTTTATAAGTGTTATGTACACGTAGGGTTTCGTTTTAATTCATCCAAGCAGTCCACTTTGCCTGTTCTTTTCTCAAGAAGTCTTATGACGTACACAAAGATCATTTAATTGAGGTGCAGTTGAGATTTCAAGGAAAAGTTTAATTATGTAAAAATCTTTTATGGAACTGACATTAAAGACAACAACGGAAAAATAGAAATATTTTTTATTAGACTTATTTCTATTATCTAATTAGTTATTACAAATTATATTTATTATAATTAAATTTTATATTAAAAATCTATTACAATTTAAATTTATAATAAAATTCATAATAATTAAATTTGGTATAAAACATCTATAATAATTAATTTTATCTGTATTTAAAATTAAGTACAATTTAAATTTCTATTAACAATCTATTATAATTTAAATCTCTATTAAAAATCTACTGTAATTTAACGTTTCCATTTAAATTCCTATAAAAATCCATGTACACCTACANTTAACCAAAAGGTGCCTGTAATGGAACTCAATTATTTCTGGTAACACGGGGAAGACAAACGAAGAAACTAGTTTCTAAACTAAATAATTGACAATATCAAAAAATGTAGCTGAGAAGTATGAAAACAATATTCCATTAACATAAATCGTCGAAATCTAATAAATTCTTTTCATTTCCATGATCATATTTTATAAGTGTTATGTACACGTAGGGTTTCGTTTTAATTCATCCAAGCAGTCCACTTTGCCTGTTCTTTTCTCAAGAAGTCTTATGACGTACACAAAGATCATTTAATTGAGGTGCAGTTGAGATTTCAAGGAAAAGTTTAATTATGTAAAAATCTTTTATGGAACTGACATTAAAGACAACAACGGAAAAATAGAAATATTTTTTATTAGACTTATTTCTATTATCTAATTAGTTATTACAAATTATATTTATTATAATTAAATTTTATATTAAAAATCTATTACAATTTAAATTTATAATAAAATTCATAATAATTAAATTTGGTATAAAACATCTATAATAATTAATTTTATCTGTATTTAAAATTAAGTACAATTTAAATTTCTATTAACAATCTATTATAATTTAAATCTCTATTAAAAATCTACTGTAATTCAACGTTTCCATTTAAATTCCTATAAAAATCCATGTACACCTACATGCGCTACAGTACCATGTTTTATCACTCATTTCAATTGTTGACAGCATACTCTTGACAATTCTGACAGCATACTAGCCCCTAGAAAGTTTGCTCCTCATCCTCAAGAAATACACTGATGTAACAATTTATAAGAAACAGTTCCGACGACATGTCGTGTCCGTCGATGAATTTTTCCCCGTTCCCGATCACGGATGCTTCAATTACACGAAGCTCCGGATCCGTTGGATTTAACTTCGTCAGGCGTTAAGCCAAATCTTGACACGGAATCGTCAGGATCCTTTTATTGTTCTGGACACAGCCTTTTGTGCACAAATCGGGCTTGCAGACAGCCGGATAAATGCGGGAAACCTAGCAAAGAGAGAAGGAGATCCAGTTGTCTACGTCCGGGCAAAGGCAAAAGAAGCTGGCTTCGTGAAAGACACGGAATAAATCGTGGAGAACTAGCCGACAGATGAATTGTAATAATCAGACTGTAGAAAACGGCTTCGTATTTTTTTTTTCTGTTCATTGTAAACGCCATTTTGATTAAGTCACGATGGGACATCCATTTGAGAGCGTCTGTATACCTGAAGCTGTAAATTGCAAAATTTCAAAGATTGTTTCGTTCTTTCATTGCTTTTGTGATTGTGTTAATGTCACATTATTCGTTGCATTGAGAATGGTTTTAATAGATAATTTCTTATTTTCGACCACGATAAAGGACTTAGTTTATAATTGCAATCTAATCCCATTTAGACAATGGTTTCATTATAAATCTGGGTTATGCTTTCCTATATTCTGGATGGATGAGAAATTTCAAGAGAATATTTCAAATAACAGTTAAGGTAATATGATATGAAGTGCAGATGAAATAGAATTTTCGATAAGAAACAAAATTTCAACCAATAAAATATTTCTATCGTTTAAATTCGTAAAATTCAGTAATGAAGTAGTATTGTCATACTAAATCATATCGTGCAAATAAATGTATTATTAGACTTTGAATCTTTACGCAAAATAAAATTTGGTTTTGACTTGATTTCTGACCGACAGAAAGAAATCAAATGAAATTTTTAATTTTGTTTGGAACTTATCACATGATTCAATATTAAATATGTTTATCTTCTATGTTCCAATAAATCCTCTTGTTTTCTTACCAAACCGCATTGGAGTCTGGAGTTCAGAAAAGATTCAGAAAATGTTCGCGTACCTTATTTTCTGTGGTATGAAATCACCGCATGTTATTTCTGTATCTGCTATGCTTCATAATGTATCCGCTGGCGAAATCTCATGCTCTGACGATTTCAATAAATTTTCTTTAAACGTCTTCATGAGAAATTTATGTGCGCATGACTTTCTTAGTAAGAGGGTATATTGCGCTTTGCGTAGGAAATTAAATTGCATAAATGAATTCATTTATACAGATGTATACGAATATAAATAATCTATATAATTCCACGTACTTTCTTACATTTACATTCACAGAAAAAGGAACGGTTTTTAAGCACACAATTGGTTACATTACATTTTATGTAATTTGTATTGTACTTATTTTTTTAATTACGTATCTAGTTTTCTTTATTTAATGTTTTATCCGTTTGCAGATGTTTACAAACGTTTGTTGATGTTCTTCTCCACACTGATGTTATTCACTTATACACCATCATAGACAATATGATTTGTCAACATTATACATATGCAGTGAGTGTCGAGTCAACTCAACTAGATATACAACAGATTAGACTTCAGAATGTTTACAGATGTTTGCAGACATTTTTTTCCAGAATCGAAACCGGTGTTATTCACTTATTCACACAGTGCGCGTGCGTATGTAGGTGTGTTATCACATTATACACAAAAAGTGTAGACCAACTCAATTAGACATAGAACAGATTAAACTTAAATATTTAGAGTGGTTTTCAAACGTTTCCAGACATTTCCTTCGAAACTAACGTCTGTCACTGATTCCGCTCTTCTATGCACCAGTTCGATTGTCTCTCAGCATAAACATTCACGCTATCGTTTATTTATTTTTCTCCCGGATATAACAATCAAGACATTGAAATGTCCGTGTCTATCCGTTCTTCCCTACCACCTCTCGTCTTAAAAAAGCCACAGCAGTTATCTCGAACCACGTACTCGATTATGCCCCACATTTCCTCATATCCCTTTATAATATCGCGGTCCTGTAACTGGTGGTGACCCATGTGGAACAGAAACTCTGTAAAAATCGACCAAAAATTTGTCAAAAATATCGATAACCTGATGAGATGCACTGACCGATAAGTAAATTAATAATAAGGATGGAAGGGGTTGCAGGTTGCTGGGAGGAAGAGAGAGAGAGAGAGACCGGAGATGTAGGTGGGGGGTTCGATTACCCCGATCCAGCTGCGGGACAAGTTCGAAAGGGGGTTGCGCGTCGAAAGGTCGAAAGTGGCGAGGGTGCGGAGCGAGCAAGGGGTGACGCCGGTCTCTGGTGGGGGTAAGAAAGGGGGATGGTACCTGCGCCAGACCCTCGGGCACGAAAGGGCGGTCGAGTATCGCGTTAACGCGCGACAGTTTCTCGCGAGCCGCGAGCGGTGTCGTACTGTGTCGTTCGTCGTATGCGCAGTCTCGGCTTCACCTTTGCACCTGTCGCCTGTCGCATTTCGCGCTCAAGTTTGCGCTTCGCTGGCGACGCGCGACGTCACGCAACTGCCATACGTTTTCGCGCCGTTTCCGTTCCGTTTTCATTCCTCTACGCACCGTGAAATCCTCTTTCCGTTTTCTGAACCTTCAAAACCGACGGAATCTCGAAATCCGCTTTGACCAGTGACGCAAAGTAAATTGACAATCGCAGGCAGGGAAAGCGTTTGACAGAGGAGAGATCCGCGACGAGGATTCCGTCTAGCTGCCGTGAAGTGTCGTTCTAATCCCTGCGTGTCTATCGATTCGGTGTGCTCGTCGATTTTCGAATCCGGAGTGTCAGTTGTATGCGCTCCTCGTGAATCATCGACGATCCCGCGACCCTCTTCGAGACTAGTCGATGCTCGCGACATGCCTCGTGTAATCTCGTTCGCCGTCGATCCTCTCTCTCCAGAGGGAGAGGGAGAGAGAGAGGGAAAGAGGGAGAGAGAGAGTGAGAGAGAGTTTAATTTCTCCCGAAATTAATCGCAGAGGCGATCGACGAAATTAATTACCGATCTATCTCGTCGCTCGGCTACCGTCAAAGCAGATCCGCTCCGGGGTGTGTTCGCGCAGAGCGTGACTTCCTCGCGAATGAAAACCAGAACCGAGCGTGTCGAGGTGAATCACAGCGCAGAGACACGGTTCTCGAAAGGTATCCGGCCGTCTCTGCTCCGTATCAGTCGCTCCGTTTCTGTTTCGGTTTCGGTTTCGGTTTCTGCTTCTGTCTCGGTTTCGGTTTGAATGCGCGCGGTCGCGACCGCGAGTGGCTCTCCGATCCGCTATTCGGAACCGGGGAATCTCTTTGTCCGTGGTGAACTGTGACAGAGTTAAATCGGCGACGGTGTTGCGTGCGTTGCGGATCAGAATCCAGGGGAATTCGAGGAATGGAGCGCGACCGCATTGGAGACGTGCACTATCTCCGCAGCTGTGCGACCAACTGCATCAACCGGTCGCCGAGCTTCCCGAACTTACGTGGATCGCGTTACCGTAGCTTGTAAGTGACGCATCATGCTTTTTTCACCAACGTTCGAAGCGCTATAATTCCACGCGACACGCATTGGCGAATTTGCCTTGAATCGTGAAGATTCCTTGTGGAACTCAAAATCTTAACGAGCTCTAAACTACACTAATGACTATGGTTTTGTGACAATGACAACATTTAATTTACATGAACCTCGTATATATACAACTTCTCTATTATAATACATACTTGGATGAAAGTTTCATAAGAAATTAATCGTAGAAATATTTTTGTAATTTTCATAATCGTAAATAAAAAAATCAGAAGCCATTTCGACCCTTCAGCTAGTTCTAGTGTTAAATATTCGTACACTAAGCTTTATTTCTGAATATATTCTTTGCGAATTTTTTAATTATCATTTTGTATGAAATTTTGATGTTCACAAACCTTGCCAAGCTATATCAATTTGGACGGGTATTTTTTACATAGATAGACCTTTTTTGGTTGGTGAAAACTATTCGGTTAAATAGAAATGTTATGTTTAGCCATTTCACATTGATTTTTGCCGTTCTTTGTATAATACATACAATACAATACATACGTTTAAGTGAGAACAGTGAACGTATAAATTAACAAGGTCTAATAGTATTTTTATTCTCTTTTTAGTCACGTTATAATTAATGAAGGAAATTCTTTTTTTAATTCTAATTTTTATAAAATGGCGTATGAAAATGAGAATTTGCATAAAGATCCACAGTGTAATGATAATATTTGTCTCATTGGACAGGCATTATATGTATCGTATGCATCATACTCGAGTCAGAAACCCTCTTTTCCTTTTTATTAAATAACGATTTGCAATCAAATTATTGAGGCCAAAACTTAGCTTATATTCTTTCGCCTGCTTAACAGAGAACTAAAGAATCCTCAGAAAATATTTTATATTTCCAAATAAAGGCTTGTTAACCAGTGCTTGAAATAATGAATGGAAATGTAAAATGCGGTACGGGCATAATTATCCATGATAATGTGCAAAGTTTATGCATTTACATACCTACATAATTTTATGTAACATCGACCGAGTATCCCATTCGTAAATATAAAATGAGAAAAAACGATGATTTATAAGCAAACCGTTTTACGTAAAGCATGTTGTAAACCGTTCAATGAATTTTCGTAACCGTGATTCCTCAGAAGCCTGAAAACGAGGCACAAAATAACGAGGTTTCTGTTGCACCGTTATTTTTGCTCTTATGAATTAATAGCTGTTTCTGTTTTGAAACAATATGTTCAACTAGAATAGACTTCCGTTTGGCGTTTTTCGTACCAACGGGGTGGGGGTTACTTTGAAATCATCGACAATCTCTTCATGGACTATGTTTTTGTCGACACGAGTTCATCGACACTACAAAATCATCGACGAATATAATCATTGAGACCTATTCTGTGTTTGATCCGTGTTGTATCAGAATTATGTTACGGTAGGTTAGATTAGGATAGATTAGTTTAGGTTCTGTTGAGTACGGTTGAGTTCGGTTGGGTTAGGTTTGATTGGATTCGGTTGGGTTGGGTTGGGTCAAGTTAGGTTATATTAGTTTAGATTAGCTTTGGTTAGGTTGGATTTGGTTACGTTAGGTTAGCTTAGTGAAGTTATTCTTGGTTAGATTAGGTTAGGACAGGCTAGGGCTTGTCATGTCAGTTAAGATCAGGTCAGATCAGGTCAATTGATGTCGGATTTGGTGAGGTCTGGTCATGTCAAGTGATGTGAGGACAGGTCAGGACAGGTGAGATTAGGTTGGAACAGGTCTGTAGAATGAGTGTTGATTAAGAAAATTTGTCGATGCTTTCAGAGCATCGGTAGATGCATGCTGTCAATAAATCTCGATGCGTTGTGTCGATGAAAACATAGTCGGTGAAGTAAAGGAGATAAAAGGACTATAATGTAGAGATATACATCAATTTGTTTTTAAATACTAGGTCATAGTTAATATTTGTTACTGTATTGGTTATTTGTTACTATATTCAAAGTAATCGCAATGATAAAAGGACTGTAATGTAGATATGCATCAATTTATTTTTAAATACTAGGTTAGAGTTAATATTTGTGAGATCTAGTTGGTGAATCACGTCATTTAGCAAACTAGCTATTATTCTTTCCAATCAATACTTTCTACAGTCTGATACAATATGTTTAATAGTAGTTAGCACTTTGTGGTGTTCAGAAGTTAGTATTAATTTTTAATTACTCAATATTGCGTGATCTATTGTAATTCAAGTAATTAGAAATTAAAACAGCTTGCGAGGTTCCAGTAAAATTACTGGGAAATTGTTACCGTTCAATGTTTTTTTGTTCGAACCCGTTAAATACGAAATATATTACTCTTGACAGAAAATATTTGTCTCAAATCGTGATTATGATTGTTGGATGAATTATTTTCGCGTATTATTTTGTATATATTAGATAAATATGGGGCATATTTTTAAATATAAATAATTAAAAATTTTTTTGCCATCTATAAAATGATAAATTGTTCACTCTTCTGTGAAAGTTACAACGAAATTTTTGCAACATGTTATAGTATTCCAACATTCTCTAATATTCTAAACAATGAAGATTTTTATTTTATAATTTATTAGAAAAGCAAACATTCATTTTCATATCAAATTTCATTGTTGTATTAACATACAACATGTATGTACTTGGAAATCTTGTTTGTCACACCTCTTTGACATAAACGTAACGAAAGTTATGAAATTCTAAATAATGGAGTTTTCGCCATATCATGCGGCGCTGGTGTAGCCAAGGAAATATCAATTGTATTCGGTACACGGTAAACCGATGTGTATGCAAGTCTCAAATAAGATTTCACAACAAAATTCCCGAAAATAACCTGCCCGTTTATATTTCACTTAACGCTCCAACGGCGATCGATCTTCGTAATCTCCCGTGCGCCGGATTTCCTTAAACCGTTTTCTTTCTTTGATCGGCGGCCAATAAAGATAAATGTCGGGAACTCGATTTAAGATCCTTCGAAAGGAACGGCGGACGCGCAACTTTAGCTTTATGGACAAATAAAAAAGTCGACTCGTTAAACTTATCTTTTCTAATTTATCCTTCGTTTCTGGAGTACAAATGTAATATCAGTGTCAACAGTATTCTTACACAATAAACTTATCACAGACATTAAATATTGTAAAAAATACAGTAAAAATTATGGTCATTCGAAACAACATGTTTCAAAGCTGTAATATAGGAAAATCGAAGCCAATTTATCGTAATCGTGAAATGTTTCAAAGTAATCGCTTGTAATGAACCCTTTCAGTGCTGACTAAAATGAAAGAGTATAGTAGAAGAAATATCTACTTTTTATATTATTTTTATAACTTTTTTATATTATATTCGTATTATATGTATGTACTTACATTATTTTCATATTAACAATATGAATGAATAACGCAGATTTGTTATCAAATGAATTGACGTAATCATTGTTTCTGCGTTTAACAATAAACTTAGACTTATCGAATGACGATAAGTTTCCTCTAGGCTCATAGTAGATCGCCTTTATTGAAAGACACTTCATTAATTTCGAAATAACACGCAGGTTAATTATGAACTGAGTTCATTACGCGTGCTCCATTGAATTTTTAATTAAAATCTGCATATTGCAGTAAATGCGATATCGACTACAAAAGTAACATGTTTTAAATGTTTAATACCTTCAAATAACAGTAACAGTTATTTAACTCCTTGCCGTACTCAAGCCTGCAGATTTTTAGTAATAATCTATCTAGTACGATTGTTATTTCGTATTTTTATGTCTCGATAAAATTCTGTTCTCTGTTTATCAATGTTTAAATATTCAAATAAATGTAGGCACGCAGTAAATGGATATTTTTTTGCGAAGAAATTACTGCAATAAAAAAATTTCTAATTATTGTAACTGTGAAGAAAGTGGTTGGGTAACGTGTTAATAAAGTGTGATTCTATTCATCAAAAAATTCTTGCATATGACTGTGTTTTCTTTGTTTAACAAATATTCACAACCTATTTGCCTCAAGAGAATATACCTGAGCTGCGTTATATTCTGTATATTTATTCGCAGTTGAATGACATTTTTCTGCAGTTAAATAACTGTCTACCTTTTGCTGATTCGTAGAATCGGAAAAAATTTCCTTTCAATTTACAGAACTACAGAAACTGCATTGCTATTTCAATCGATTTACCCGAGGAGTAAGCCGATTCATTGAACGGCATTCAAAAAAATGATCTGATTCAAAAGTTGACAGCTCCCGAGCGAACGTTAAACAAGGTTCTTCTGTGAGGAATAATCGGAGACCGCTCACCCGCGGTTCGCCCTTTAAATCCGACTTAAACCTCGCGCGAAATCGGCAGCCGAGCAAGAAGCTTTAATAATCCGCCGTGCCACGGATTCCTTTGAAGCTTCCTATTTCGCCTGTGATAGTTGGGACGAGTCGAATGAATGGCGAAAATTCGAATCGAAATCGCTCTCGCGAGCAACACGAACGATCGGGTTCTATTCTCGGATCGGGTGGGCCGCGGAGTTCATTTTCTCGGCACCGATCGGTTATACCAACGTTCAAGGCGGGTTCATGACGCGCACAATGTAAAAACACGAGTGGACTAATCGGTGGTCCTCTGTTTCATCCGAGAATTCCGCGGATGTTTTTGATCGTCTTAAATTAACCTGCCGCGTCCGTTTCGTACGCACCACCACACGCAACGTATCAATTTCGAGCCACTTCGTTTTATTCGCACTTTTCGCCGTCCTTAACACTTCATTTCATTTCTGAAATCGTTTTTCGATGTATGGATTTCTCTAAGAAAGAGATGAATAACATCCAGTGTAACAGTTCATCGCAACAAAAATTATATATCCCTGTAATACAAAACCTTATTATTATATAATTCAAAACTATCAAAGCAATCAAAACTGCGGAACGTTATGAGTCGTTTTCTTCTAAATCAACTTTTTAAGGATTAAGAAGTTCCTCAATTGTAAAATAAAATG